ACTACCTTCTTTTAATAAATGCAGTATAACATGTATCGGTTTCGGATAAATGAGGGAAAGAATTCACCAAAAAATGAATACTAAATCAGAAGATAACCGGCAATTATAATTGTATAAACTATAGAAACACATAAAAACTGAATAACTAAAAAAAATTTAAAACAGATCTAAAAAGGATAAGCATAAATAAAAAAGTAAGTTGTTTTTAAATTTTTTGTTGCATTGTATAAATCGTCTGTCGATCATTTTGCATATTAAAGTTTGCTTATTTCGACGTTCCTGAAGAAATCGACCTATCAGAAACATTTTTGTATGAAGATACGGTATTGTATTTTTTTCACTACTAGCGTCTGATGACATGATTATTAACCTTTTTTCCACTTGTAAAGTAGTAAATGTAACTAGCCCGTTAAACTTTCCAGTGTTGTAATTAAGTGCAGATTAAATGCAAATATGTACTGATATTTCAAATTATCCCAAGGCTATAACGCGCATTAACTTATATTAACTAACACTTCAATATCAATGTACCAGAATGTGTAAATTATACGTGGTAAATGAAAATGTTACTCCTTTTGGGTAGATTTTTGGAGCTGAAATGTAATGATAAGATTACTTCATTGTTAGTCCGTATTAACGAATATACTATTATAGTACCGACCTGTAATCAAAAAATTCCTTTTCATTTTGAACCGCGTCCAAGAATTTATGCCTTTTGGACCACCTTGTCCCTCTTGTGTTTGCAAGCCAAACATCATAACCTTCATCCGCCAACATAAATCCCAAACTAAGCCCAGGACCTAAATTTAAGTAAATTAGTGACGTACAAACTAATCCTGGCACAAGAAGAACTGGCAACTGCGATTTCGACGTTAGATTGCGTTTTCCATAAGGTATTCGATAGGTTTCCAGTAAATATCCGTCTTCAGTTTCAATCGTGTGGATCTCCAAAGGATAACCATATTTTTGAATAATTTCTTTCTAAAAGCCGATGAGGGGTACATTGGGTTTGCTCGAGCGCTAATAGAATGAAACTTACAGAGCTTATTCCGGCATCTGGGTGAATGTAATTACTTGTGTATATAGCCATGCACAGTGGTGAACAAATCACTAACAATGAAACTGTTGTAATTTCCATAATGCACGTAGTACCGGTATATGATAAGTGTTTTGTAGTAGTAATCGCGTTAATGTTATAATGTCCAGTGATTCTATACATTGGCCTCCATTATATTAATCAGCTAACATTTTCATATTGCCACTCACTTACCTTCAAAAGTTACGTTTGCTTCATTATCATTTTGAAATTGTTAACATGTATGCAAACAGAATAATCTGGAAAACCCAGATTCATACATGCGTGAGTTACTACACCTAAATCCTTTGCCCAGTATTAATCGCACTACATGTATAAGTACGTCTCAAAAATGAACGGGTAAGAGAATAAAGTTACTACCAGCTGCTGCGCATTTTGAATATTCTCTAAATTAGTTTACTACCTATTTGTTGCTGGTACACTAATTAATAAGTGTTGTTTCGCTACAGGAAAAAAATTGGCGACTGCATAAACTGGAAAATGGGGCTACGGTCAAGTTAAGATTACGAGGTCCGGCTATTATATAACGAGACTGCGCGCGCAGAACGCGTATCAGAAGTGTAGAGGGGGAAACGAACACATCGTAGGAAACCTTGAAGTGTCACCTATTCCAGTCCAAAAAGACGTTTTTGTGCGTTGAGTAGTATTTATGCTATTGCGTTTTGAAGCCAGCGTGTTTTTTTCTCGCGTCGTACCGCAAAACTTGACCCCAGAACAAACACTTGTGCGCCACCAGATCTGTTCAGATGTTCTTGAAAGGTTAGTGGAAGAGCCTGGATTGTTGCAAAGGTCATCACATGCGAGGAAACTTGGATTTTCCAGTATGATGTTGAAACTCCGAGAATGAAAAAAGCAAGGATGTCGAAATCCAAATTCAAAGCAATGCTCATTGTTTTCTTCGACATTAACGGCGTCGTGATGACTCAATGGGTTCCAGAGGGTCAAACTGTGAAACGAACTTATTATTTGCAAGTCCTGGTAACACTGCGAGGGCGAGTTCGTAGGAGACGGCCGCAGTTATGGAAAGACAAGTCGTGGATCTTGCATCAAGACAACGCACCTGTTCATAACGCGCTGTCTGTAAAACGTTTTTTAACCGATAAAAGCATCGCAGTGGTTGAACATGCGCCGTATTCGCCCCATTTAGCGCCCTGCGACTTCTGTCTATTTCCCAAGATCAAGTCTGCCCTAAATGGAACTCGTTTTGGGTCAATGGAGAAGGTGAAGCAAACAACGACGGAGCTACTTAAAGCGCTTACAAAAGAAGACTTTCAGCACTGCTTCCAACAGTGGAAAAAACGAATTATTCGGTGTGTGCAGAGGGAAGGGGAGTATATTGAAGGGGAGCATTCGTTAGATCTGTAATGTTTATAATAAAGACCTTTTTCGTAACCAGTCTCGTTATTTAATAGCCGCACCTCGTAT